CATTCATTCATTCATTCATTCATTCATTCATTCATTCATTCATTCATTCATTCATTCATTCATTCATTCATTCATTCATTCATTCATTCATTCATTCATTCATTCATTCATTCATTCATTCATTCATTCATTCATTTTAATCATATATAATGGGTTTTTTATGATGTTGGACATTTAATTTCATTCATTAATTTCATTTTGATTGTTGTTGTTGATGTTGTGGTTATTACCTTGATTACCAAGTCCAAATGCTGGTACTGTTCCCTGCTGATGGGTTTCAGGAGTTGAAGCTCAGCTGTGGTTTGATTCAAGGAGAAATACTCTGCATATGACGCAGGTTTGCCTAGAAAAACAGAAGGTTAGAGAATCAATGAAGGGACGCATAAGACGAACGACTTGCATTCAAGAGTTCGACACTGAACAAAATAACTCACCGGGGCACCATGATTTTGAGGCGTATTCAGTAGCGTATTCATTTTCATAGACATACTTCAAACAGAAAGGCAAATTAAAACCACTAATGCACTTCCTCTATAAATAGTGGCACACAAGTGCTTTGTTGATAGTTAAAAGCATGAGGCTGCTGTCATATTGAGCCGCACGTCTGTGGCCTACAATGTGTTCTGACATATCCCTGACTGGAGGTCTAACCATTCCGGTGGTGCACTTTAGTTCCTCGGCTCAGGTCGCGAGCAGCGTGGTTCCCTGAGCCCGCTGCTGCGCTTCCAGGTTTCATCTCAAAGCACAGTGGGTGGGCGCACCTTGCCCGCGGCATAAATGCATTTGACTCCAGCTGAATTTCCGACCCGCCGTTCCGCTTTGCCTCTCCTGGAATACCACTGTTTCCTGCACAGTGTGGCCTTGTATGCCGGTAGTGACTCAATATAGAGTACAGAGAGCCTGATGGAAACCTACCGATGAGAATGGAGTACAGGATTCCCGGGCGGTCTGACGGAGGCTGGATGTTTCTGTCTTGATCCACAGCTTGAATGGGAGGAGTCACGTTGACAGGGTTTACTCGGCCCTGGAAAAGAGACATGGAGAAGACATTATTTACACTGAGAGAGAAAAAAAACTTTCTGAAAATGTTGATTTGGAAAAACAAGAAATTGTGTAAATGTAATGACTTGATAAACATGCAGGTAACAACAAAAAAAAACTATGACAACATGTGAGTGTACATCTTAATCTTTACTTAAATTTAAACAGTTAAGTAAATATTTAATATTTAAAGAACTGCTCCGGGGGTGTGTGTTCATGGTGTGTGTGTGTGTGTGCACTTGGATGGGTTAAATGCAGACCACAAATTCCGAGTATGGGTCACCATACTTGTCCACACTTCCCTTTACTTCACTTAACTTCACTTAATTTCCTTTTTATTTTATTTTTTCAAGATTAAACACATTTTTTAACAAATTACATGAAGTATTCATTTAGAAATATAAAAAAAAAAAATTTAAATACTTTTTTTTTTACATATATGTTGGTTGCACTACGTGACTTTGTTGGTCACATAACATGACAAGACAGGACAAAATTGTTAAATATATTTGACCAAAACTGTTTAACTGCATTTAGTCAATGTATTCCTCTTTTCCTTTTCAAGAATGTATTTAATTATCTTTTTTTTTCTTTGTTTGTTTATTGTGCTGGTTGCACATCATAAACAAACCACATAATTAAAACAAACAAAGTAAGATAAATAATATTACGCCTATATATATATATATATATATATATATATATATATATATATATAATGCAATATGTATTATGCAATATTACACTTCTGTTTTTAAGAATGCCATCCTTTTTTATTAGCTTTTCTTCATTATATTATCAGGAACAATTATATAAGAAATATATGTTTGATATCTATCTTTTCCCCCCCATGTTAAGCCCCCCAAAATATCAAATTTAGAAATTAATATCATACTCAGAATAAGTGTATGATATGCATGTCATTTATTTTGCAAAATAAATAAATAAATGTATTTTGTAGATGGACAAAAAGCATTAGTGACCCATTTGTCATTTTTCCAGTTAGAACAAACACACTTAATAAGAGATACAAGTATTTAGACACATAAGACACAAAGCATTTGGAAAATGCACACTTGGACTAGCAAACAAGTAAAAGAAAAAAGAAGAAGAAGATGATGCAATGCAATACAATACAATGATACAAGATAAACAATAATGACACTTTATTTCTCTGCTGTGGCACAGTAGCAATAAAGGCATTTTGGTGCTGTCATGTTACGTCATCACAACATGTGCACTTGCAAATTTAGAGGAAAGTAGATGGTGAGAGGAGATCCACGCCACATAAATTTACCAGGGAACAAAGTGACAACACAGTGATCACATGTGAGAAGCTACATCAACATTCCTGTCACTTGCTGCAAATGAGCTGCAGATGTTTGGCCGCAGAATTCAAGGCCACATTTCCCCTTTCTCGTTTATGAGCTCCAGAGACCCATCTTCCACATTCCCTGTGCCTGAGGGATAAGTAAATCTCCCCCTGCATCTCTCTCTGTCTCAGCCATAATATCACCTGTCAGTAAATATGCTCATCTATAATTCAAGCCGCCTCTGGAAAATGACAGTGTTACAGTAAGTGGCGTGGGTGAACTCAGAGACGCCTTGGTGAAAATGAAGCTGCCAGAAAACAAAAAGCTGCTCTGCAAGTCAGCAAAGAGCAGAGAGAAACTAATCCTCAAGACAGCTGTGGCAAAACTCTCTTCTGAAAGAACATTTGTCCATTTGGGTGGCAGGATCTTGAGACGAACACTGACAAGCAAAATACCTGACACAAGCTTGAAGTCGTGACAAAACTGAAGTAACTTGAGATCTTTTCTTCTTTCTACTGTGACGTATATCTAAGTGGAATGGATTAACAGAAAAGAAAAAAAAGTAGGGCGGGGACTTGGTTCGGTTCATCGATTGTTGATTGGATGTTGCGATGTGGGCATGGCACTCAAAAGTGGCGGCAGATGAAAGCAAACTTGCAGTGGGCAGAGATTAAGCAGATTAAATGATTGGAGAAACCTGCATAAATCACCAGCGAGAAGTCTGCCATTATCACTGGAAGATTCAATATGACATTCTGATTAGTGGCTAGCATCAACTGTTTGGTTACCAACAGGGTTTGAAATGAACACCTGCCAACCCACCAAATGTGGGTAAAAATCAACTGTGGTGGGTAACGCAGTCAAATCAATAACCAATCTGGCAGGTTACTTTTCGTAAATTACCGTATTGACCCGAATATAAGACGATGTTTTTTTTCTTGGAAATACATCTGAAAAAACACGTCATCTTATATTCGGGGTCTAGACTTTGACATGTCAATAATACACCCACAACAATAGGTGGCGCCAAATATGCATAAAACGAGTTTGCCATGAAATACGTAATGCAATGCGTGTTGTAAAGATCGCGAGTAAAAACAAAAGAATAAGAAAATCTTACAGCTGCATGAGTCGTGACTGTCACGTTAGCCTGATGGGACCAAACTCCCTTTGTGATTTTAAAACGTAAGACAGTACCCAGATTTGAAGACTACAGTAAGATTTAACTTCTACTGTTAATAAGATTTTGGTAGGCTACTATTAGATGGATAGCCTAAATGTCCTAATTCAGATGGGCTACCGTTTTTTTTAATGGTATATCAAAAAGTGTATATTTTTTAAATGTGATTGTTGGTACATTTGACCAGTTTTTACCATACTTTCAAAACAAAAATTAAAATAGGAAAAATATGCAATATGAAAATAATTGAAGACAAAATGTGTTTTACTGATTAGGTTTTTAAAAAGCCTTTTTCCAAAAGGTACATCTGGAAAAAGGGGGGTCGTCTTATAATCAGGGTCGTCTTATATTCGGGCCAATACGGTATATTCACTCTAAATCTACACAGATTTAGTGCAAATACTGAACTTATGAGTCATCGTGATATATTAAATAAAGCCTAATTGCACAGCATCTGTGCATATCTAGCTTACTTGAACATACCTGACAAATAACGGTGCGGCGGGCTCGCTGGTTTCCTTTGCATTGAAGCAATAACGAAGAGTCGAAAAATGACTGAAGACTCACACCGTGTCTACACCGGATGCGAAGCCACAAAATACAAAAGAACCCATTACGATCAAGTGATGATGTCTACACTGGATGTGGCATGACACGACAAATCCCCGACAGTAAACTGATGCCTCGTTCTATTTATGACTTACTAACACAAAGTTGTTAAAAAATGCCCGCTTTGTCACATCCACTGTGGACAGCCGCAAGCTGTTGGTTTATTTCAGAATCTGTTATTTTTTTTTAGCAGCCAATTTAGCAGCCAAATTGGCTTATGAGTGAAAAAGATACATTCCAATCCTGGTAACCAACATTCTTCAAAATATTTTTTTTGTGTGTTCAACAGCTTAAAGAAATTAATATAGGTCTTTAACGGGCCGCTGTGACCCCAAACCCCTTCACAGAAGAAGAAAGCCATTATGTTTGCAAATTTGACAATGATCGCTTATCAGCAGAGGTGTAAAGAGAACCTGAAAACTGTACTTGAGTAAAACTACAGATACCTTACAGCAAAATGACTCCATTACAAATTACAAGTCACCAATTCCAACATGACTTGAGTATCTGATTTTAACAGCATTTAATAATTTTACTCGTACAGAATGTAGGCTCAAAGATGCACTAGTCCTCAACACTCAATAGACATCACCTCAGTACTGCAATAAAACAAGGTTGACACAACAGCCTCTTAAATGTCTACAAACACTGAAGTCTCAGAAAAGCTCAAGTACTCAACAAGGGCATAAGTAAACCAACATCCTTCAAAAAGGTCTCAGCCATGTCCTCATTTTATATGTCAAATGCATGAGATTCACAACTACCTACTAATGCACTTACGGTACATTCACGTAAAGTAGCCTATTTGGGGTGAGTAAGGGCAAAATGCACAAGACATAGTACCTTCAATGCCCTGTAGATGGCGATATTACTTATTTTGTAGCAGAAATAAACTGCTGCAGAAAAAGTAAGGTGTCATGTAAAATGTAACAAGTAATTGCATTACTTATTACGAATGTAGTGAAGAGTACTGTACATATATTTATTCAAAAATGCACCCGAGTAGAGCGTAAAAGTTGGTAATATCTTTGATACTCAGTAAAGTATCGAAAAAGTTACTTAAGTACAGTAACTAATTGCACTGACTAGAATAGTTTATACCACTGCTTAACAGGATCAACTAAACACTGGATTTTGAAAAAGTATGTTAAGTTGACGGCACAGACTCTTGATGACTGATGAAATTACAGTAATTTATGCCTCAAAAGGAATAACAGAAAGTTTTATAATAGTTACTATTCTGAAATGATCATCGCGAATGATGAATGTGACCTCCGGGGGGCGAAGCTGTGAGAAACAGCAATTAACTTTCAATCTCAGTGGCAAATATTTTTTTTTAGTTGCAACACTATATATAAATATATATATATATAAATCTAATTGAATTAAATGTTGAAGTAGGAAAACTGAAATAATATGCGGTATAGGCTATAACTGTTTTAATATATGTCCTTAATGTTTCTCTTGTGGCCCGACCATAGTGAAAACAATGAGAAGAAACGTAGGCTATTTCGTGTTGAACAGGTTGTTTTTGAAAGTCGGTGCTTATAAAATAAAGTTGCTCCGTTTCATTAGCTATGTTTCCATCACCCTGTTTTAATGTGCATTTTGAAGTATCGCATGAGAAACGAGTGATGGAAACGCCAAATTTCGAAAATAAATCCCTGTTTTTACGCTCCCTTGAGGTGGTTTTTGACTTGTGCGAAAAAGGGTTAATGCGAATGATGGTAGATTGAAACGCATTTTGCGAATAAATCCCGCATGAGCGTTCAAAAAATAATGTGACTTTGCGCTACGGGACAGCACAACCTGACTAACCAGCAGACCGATTTTGTTGCACAGCATCTGAAATGTTGTCATGGTCATTCTGAAGTGCCCGAG